TCTTTATGGGTCCTGACTTTGTTCAAAAGCAATGGGCATTCAGGAACTGGGCAGCCTGGGTGCAAATAACCCACTGATCCTTTATAAATATATTTCTACAAGTCAGTTACACTATTCCATTTCCAACATAAACAGTTACAGGATCATCAAGCTTTATATTTAATCATGTATTCATTAGTGTTTACATTAAATGAATTTAGTTGCCTCATTAAAAAGTTTCTGTCATGGTGTTTCACAAGGAAATTGTTCAAGGAATTCCCCAAGAAGCTATCAAAGAAAGAATCTATTAATCCATTATCTTAAAAGTACAACCCTCAGCTACCAAGAAAAAGAGGACTATGTAGAAATTCTAAATACAGTACATTGCACACAGGAAACAAGCATGCAATCTATGCACTGTCAGCACTGGATAGTTTAGCCCACTGGTTTCGGGCCTAATAAACAATTATTTTGACAAAGAAGTGACAAAAATTTTAAGTCCACTACATTTCTGAAAAGGTCAATGAGAACTCTATCCTATCCCAAAAGCATTTGTCTTAGATCGTCTCTAATGAACCTCGAAGAGCCAGCATATTTCACAGGGGCTAAATAAAACTTTTGAAAAGGTTAATGGAAAAAATATTTATGTGAAAAATGCTTCCAAATAATCTTTTAGTGGGTGGATTCGGCACATACCACTGAATACCTTTGAGTTCAGTCCAATTTTGAATTAAGCTAGGGTTCACCTTTAAGAAACAATGAACCTGTTTTTAAGTAAAACCCTGTATTAATAAGAAACATGGAATGTGGATGCAAAATATAAAAGATATTATCAACTGAATTGTTTCTTAATATTTTATAAAAATTTTCCATGAGCCATCAGTAGATCTTTAAAACGCATGATCTTTTAAAAAACTTGCTAGTCATTCATCTGTAAAAATCTAGCTTTTCATGTGTATGCCAAGCATAAAATTGCCCCATGCTAAATTTAACATAAACCTCACATTACACTCTTATGTGTTCTTGTACTTCAATATGACGATACTAGTGACTCAAAGGGTAAAAACACATTTAGATAATAAGCCTTCTGCTGCATTTCAGTACAACGAAGAAAGCCTGAAAAGTATGCAAAAATTAGGTCCATATTTTAAATCTGCAGGCAATCAGGCTGGGGAAGTAAATTGAACAGCCAGGCTATGTAATCACAATCACTTGCAAAACCATGTAAACAATTTTTAAGTTGTAACTGTTAGCAGTTTCTTATGATGGTAATCTTTAAAAATGATATCTTCCATTTAAAAATTAAACACATGTGTACATTAACTCTGGTCTACTTTTAGTCAGGTGCTAGCTGTGGTCTATTACAATCCTCCTTTGTGCACTCTTCTTTTATTTTAGTACACTAGTTCCAAGTCAATATCAGATCACTTCTCTAAATCATGGCTGGCTTAAAATTTTTATCTTTTTCACTACAATTTGTGAGGCAATGCAGAGTCTGACAAAGATAAACATCTGGTATAATGTACAATCATTTGATGATGGTGCTCCTTTCTACAAAATAATATGTTTGATTTTCAGGTGCTATTCAAAGATACTTAATCATTTTACCACTATTACACAATTAAAGATTCTCAACAGTGCATATCGATATGCCCAGCTCTTAACAGAGTGTATTTAAAATTAAGATGTAAAATGAGTTGTCCCAGGTCAGGCAGCATGTCAGAAAGGTAACCAACTGGAGACTTCATTGGCTGACTCAAATTCCTCTCCTCCCCACATGTGCCATCCTGAGAGATCGCAGCTCTAACCTCTGCCTGCAAATGTTAACACAGGTATCCTTCACAGGACAGAAATTGCTTAAAGTAGAATTCCAAACATAAGGGACTGATTATGTAGAAGAGAATTTAACCTGAATGTTACCCTACTATATAAATTTAAATTAATTTTCAGATAATAGTCTTACCACACGAGTGACCAATCCCTAAACAGTCTCTAATTTTTTTCTAATAGTTTTAAGTGGCTAAGACCTGGCTCTGAGGAACCCTGGCAGCATAGTGGTTATGCGCTGGGCTGCTAACTGCAAGGTCAGCAGTTAGAAACCACCAGGCGTGCCACAGGAGAAAGATGGGGCTTACTTCTACTACTGTAGAGTTAAAAAAAAATTTTTTTAAAGAGTTACAGTTTCGGAAACCCACAGAAACAGTTCTATCCTGTCCTACGGGGTCTCTCTGAGTCAGTATTAACTTCACAGCAGTGAGTGAGTGAGTGAGTGAGTGAGTGAGTGAGTGAGTGAGTGAGTGAGTGAGCGAGCGAATGAGCGAGCGAGCGAAGATCTGGCTTCCGGGCACTCTGAAGCCTCCCCAAAGACAACTAATCCGAGAAGAGGGATGCAGTTGATTTCTGGGGTTGGTGCTAGTCAGGTGCTAGCTGTGGCCCATCCTCTGTGGTAACCCAAAGACCACTCAGTGTTCACATGGAAGACCCCGTCATCAATGTTTTCACCACTCGGTTGAGGCGTGAAGGATCACTGTCCCTTCAAATTCTCCATTAGAATCCACCGAGTCTAGAGTAGTCCCTAAACCTTTAGCTGTGTAACTGGCTTCAGATCATTTTACCACCTCTAACTTGATCTCTAAAACAAATGTTTTTATGCATTCTTACAAAATTCTGAGCACTTACGCTCATGGCCTCTATATGATATTCTATCCCATAGCTTCAGAAAAGTTCTTTCCTTTCAAATCAACCTACCATCAAGTCAGTTCTGACTCATAAGTGACCCTTCAGGACAAAGCAGAACTGCTCCTTAGGGTTTCCCAGACTGTAAATCTTTATGGGAGCACACAGCCTCTTGTTCCTCCCACAGTTAGGCTAGCAGCACAATGGCTAACCCACAGTGCCACTAGGGTTCCTTATAGAGGCACTGGGTGGGTTCAAGTTGCTAATCTTTCTGCTACTAACTAGCTTAGTGTTTCATCATTAGACCAGGAGGCTCTTTAATCATGCTATAATCAAAACCAAAACAAACTCATTACCATCAAGTTGATTTCAACTCACAGAGACCATACAGGACAGAACAGAACAACAGCCCCCATAGGGTTTCCAAAGTTTTAATACTTATATGAGCAGATAGCCTCACGTTCCTTCCAATGAGCAGCTGTTGGGTTTGAACTACCAACCTTGAAGTTAGCAGGCCAATGCTTAACCCACTACACCACTAAGGATCCTTCATATTCTTTGTAGAAATTTTAAGTCAGAAACAGTGAAATATCATTGTTCAATGATGGAGCTTGCAGGTCATCAATAGTGTGTTTTCAGGTTAAAGCTGTCAAACTGATAACTATTTAAATACATATATTCTTTGAAAAATAAATATATAGTGCCAAAGTGTGATGATTCAAAATTAAATGCCATTCTTTGGTTACCACGTACATATAAAAAACATCTGACAGATAAAAGTACCAGAATGAAATGTGTGGTGGGCCTAAATATAACTTTATCACTTTTATAAAAGGAAGGAGGAAGACAGGGAAGGATATCAACATTCTCTTTGTACATACTAAGGAAATAGATAATATGCTAATCACCATATCCAATTTAATGTTTCATATGTAATTATCAAGCAGTTATAAACCTATGCATTCAAATAACAACAGTATCACAAACTCTCTAATACGGAAATGATCCCATTTGCTGCTTTGGCACACGAGTTCCAAGCTCATGTCTCCGTGTGTGCCTCTCTCTCTCTCTGAGAGCTCAGAATCAGAGCACCTTAAATCTCTGGAAAGGAGCTCAGGAATACAGTTAGACACTGGCACAGTCCTCTCAAAGAGCTAGTTTTGATCCAAGAACTCCATTCTGATGAGCATGCTTTAATAAGAGCCGCTAATTTCAGTATTTACCAAGAGATAAGCTACCAGTAATACCAAGAAATAAAGATTCTTTATTATGAAAACTTATACACTGAACTTACTCTGCCTCCAAAGGTTACAGGAAGACAGGAACACAAACCAGAGAGGCTGGGTTCTTAACTGGTTAGATATTTTGTTTCACTGATTTACAGGAAGATGGTGGACTTGATGGAAAAAGATGCTTTTTTAAAAAAAAGGGAACAAAGGAAAATGTCTATGCTTCCGGTGTAAAACATTTTACACAAATATTTGAAAATAGAAATAAACATATTTTTACATCATTTTATTGGGGGCTCATACAACTCTTATCACAATCCAGGAATAAACTTAAGTATATTTTTAACTTCTGATAAGTAGGCAGTCCTTGTCTTACAATGAATTACAAGGAATTTCATGTAACGATTACTTTTTTTTAAGACATATTAACTTTAGTAATATGGATTATAAACTGTGCTAAAAAATAAAACTCCAAATGCCAAAATAAAAGTTGAATTCATAGATATTAATAATAAAAGGCAATAATAAGAACTAAAAAGAGAGGTATTTGATTTAGTGTCAGAAGCTTAGGCTGAAGCACTCAAAACTAAACTCCATCATTAACTCAGGGACAACCTGTAGTATACTTGGAATAAAATACTAAACATTCTAATGACTATGCACAATGTGGAAAAATACATAAGGATGGCAAAGCTAAAGAAATCAGATTATGACTTAATTAGAGAAAACCCTGTGTGTACCTAAAAACACTTAGAGCTAACACAACGGTTGATCTGAGGAGGTAACAGGTTCATAATTGTTTTTATTCTTTTATATTACAATGTTATTGCAACAAAAACAACAATTGTAAAAAGAATAGCATCACTACATATATTAAATGGCAAATCTGTAATGGTTTGCCTGTGTTATGAATACAACGCATTAGGCTATGAAGACAGCAAGTGTCTTAGTTTTCCAGTTCCTCTGTGAGATGAGGAAGGCACACATCCATTTTCCTTTTCGTCTCCCTAATACTTAGCATGACAGCACAGCCCCCAACACTTCAATACATATTAGCAGTGGTATAGTCATTGAGCTGATGAACGCCAAGTGCACAGAAATAAAGGGGGAACTTACTGTTATTTGTTGGTTCAGGAAACCCAGGCTTAGGACTACTCCATCCTTTATTTTCCCCTGTCTGAAAAATTACATAAACTGTTTAAATCCAGAGAAATGGCTTATTTCACAAGAAAAAAGAGTTGATTAATCAGTACAATGAGGACAAAGGGCTCCCACACAGTCATTCTACTTATTCTGTCCATCTCTGACCCCAAAGACAACGGGCCCCAAAGCACCTAGCAGGGTCAGCTATCACTTCCGTGTAACTGAAACCATTTCCTATTGCCCCTTCTATTTTTAGCTTATTTAATTTATACTATAGCCTCATATTCATATATGTATTACACAGAGCTCAGGTTCTCTCTACGAGGGGATTCAACAGTAAATGATTCTTAAAAAGTATAAACAAATAAATGATTCTTACTCAAACAGTAAGCAGCAGTGTACTAAAGTGACTAAAAGGGTTTATCGTTCCTGAGGTTAGATTAACAACAAATACTACGACAGTGCTTCAAAGCTTGTGGAAATGGGCATTGAGAGATAATGGAATTTTTTCATTAACTTTCTGAAGTTGCCTCATATATATGTACTGGAAAAATATGATAAAGATCATTAATTAGCTAATGATATATAAGAAACATGGAAAACGAAGTTCTAATCTTAAGACAGACATGTAACAAACTGGCATTTGCCAGATGATTTGATTTGTATTGGGTATAAATACATTTTGAAATGCATAAAGATTTAAATGTTTACTGGGCTAAAATACAGAAAATATAAAACTTGCCACTTAACCTATTTAAAGCATATTATTCAGTGACATTATTAATAATATCCATCTTAAGCAACTACCACCACCATCATTTCTAAAACATTTTCACTGCCCCAATCAGGCTCTCAGGACCGCCTGAGCAGCAACTGCTCCTTATTCTCGGGACCCTTTGGCCTCTGGTTATACCAATTCTACTTTCTGCCTCTAGGAATTGATGTCATTTCCATTTTTTTTTTCATTTAGATCTTTTTTAACTGAGTGGAATCATACACTATTTATCCTTTTGTATCTGGCTTATTTCACTCAACATACTTTTAAAAAAGGTTCACCCATAGAATGGCATATGCTAGAATTTTATTCCTTTACACGGCTAAACAATATTTCATTGTACGGATACACCATATTTTAACAATTCAATCATTTGTTGATCAACACGAGTTGAAATCCATATATTTTGGTGTAATATTCTAGTCAATATAATAAGAAAGGTAACTGACTAAAGCTGGTATATCTGATATGAAGTACCCCAGGAAATTTTTAAAGGGTTTCCTATTATACTCAGAATTTTATATTTAGATAACTGGTGACAAAGTTCAAACATATAAATTCAATCTAAATATAAACACGTAGTACTACTAGGGTTCATTCTTTTTTCAACCTTGCTCTTAGTAAATTCTCTCTTTCATTCTATCCCTGGTGGCATTGGCAGGTAAGCACTGAGATGCTAATCACATGGTTGACAATTTCTGTCTGTCAGTCCCTCCACAGAAGAAAGAAGAGGCTATTTGCTCTTGTAAAGATTTGGAATGATTTTCTGTAAATGAAACCTAGGATATGTACATCTATAGAAACAGTAAGGGGATCAGTAATCACTAGGGGAATGGCAGCAGAGGAGGGGAGAGGGAGGAGGGGAGCTAACAACAAGTACAAGAAGAAAATGCTCTGAAACGGATTGTGGTGGCGATTGTTCAATTCTTCTTAATATGCCTGAAAAGTTAAATTGTATGATATGTAAAGTATCTGTAATAAAATTAATTTTAAAACTCTGACCAAAAGAAAAAATAACAGGCTCAGAAACCCTCCCTCAATGTGAGCCAGAATCAATTTGATGGCAGAAGTGTGTATGCTATGTTAGGATGAAATGGAAAAGATACAGTAGCACATAACAGAGGCAGGAAGAAAACAGAGTCCTGCCTCTGATTTTTTCAGTAAGCTGGCAATATATTAAAAACAATCAGAAGCTTCATATTTTAAATTACCACTAGAGTAAAAGCAGAGAGCAGGTTTCTCATCAAAACAAAAGCAAAAAAACCTATGTAAATCATAAGACAATGGAACAGTCAGTATCTTTAAACTGCTGAAAGAAACAGAAAATCTAGATTCTGTACTCAGATAAAATAGCTTTTAAAAATGAAGGCAAAATAAAGGCTTTTCAATAAACAAATCCTGAAAGAATTCAAGAGGGGTCTTTGGCCTAGGCAACAGTGAGCTTCAGTTAGGGTTGATATTATAATTTGAGAATGAGTAAGGGTGATGGCTGAACAACTTTCTGAACATCATTAATGTCACCCAAGTGTACATGTGAAGATTGTTGAAATGTCCAACTTTTGTACCTGTCCGTTTACAGAATACATATTTTTAAAAGCTACTATCATAATGCAGTGTCACAAGGCAAAGGATACACATGCAAATATCAGTCAATTATATTTCTATATATGAGAATGTCAAGAAGTATTGCTACTGGGGTTCCAGTTTATACAAGTAGGGGTTTATTCCACACAATGTGTTTAAGCCTGTCTCTGATCAGTAGATGGCTGCAGCCAAGTTCTCACAGTAATGTATAAGGGGCCTACCGGAAATATGCAAAGGACCATTCAGAACGGTGGCTTCTGAGAGAATCTGCTGGGCTAATTAAATGCAAGACAGAGAAGTCAATTCCAAAGGTTATAGTGATTGTTTTAAGGCATTCTTCTACAAGGGCCCAGGAAATTACCAGGATTTATTATGAAAAGGTTTTACAACAATGGAAAAGCCACTTTGGTGAAGAAAAGGGCAGGAGAGTTGTGCCGAGAGCATTTTTTCCCATCATGACAATGTACCTGCTCATTCTTTTGAGGGTAAGAAGGGGGTGTCTTATGAGAATTTCTATGGGAAACCCCGCCCAGGCTTACAGTCCTGATCTTGCCTCTTTAGATTGCTTTATGTCCCTAAAACTCACAGAGCATTTCAAAGGAAGACAGTTTGAATCCCTCAGGATGCCAGAAGTTGCCCTTTTGGCATGGTGTAATTCAGAGTTCCGAATTCTTCAGGGTAGGGTTAAAAGGATGGAAGCATGGCCTTCCGAAGTGCACAGAACTAGACAGTGGACATGCTGAGAAACAATAGCTTCGCGTCTTGCTGTTTGTACTTAATGAATGTGTCTATGGTTTTACAATAATACTTCATAATTTATCCTGTCCCAACAAAATTAAAAATTGAAATGAACTTCCAGCACGGTTAACAATTACATCAGAACAACATATAATACTTAGGAATAAATCTATTTTAAATATGCAGGTACTCTATGAAAAAGACAAAATATCACTGGGATGATTCTTTAAAAGCCTCAATAAATTTGATGTATCTTGTGAATGAATCAAAAGATTTAATGTTGTTAATATGACAATTATCACCAAATAAATTGATCTATCCATTCAATCAACCTCCATCAAAATTCCAAACAATTTTATTTTTTGGTAGAAAGGGTAAAATGGGTTCTAAATTTTTGATGGAGGTGGCAAGAATCTAGAGACTAGCCAAAACAGTTTTATAAAGGCAAAACGAAGCTGGAGTTCTCTCATTACCTGAGTACAAACCTTACTATTGAGCTGTAATCATCAGCACAGAGTTCAAAACCACCAGATGCTCCCACTGAAGAAAGATGGGGCTTCCTACTACTCCTAACGAGGAGCAGGCTCAGAAACACACAGGGGCAGTTCCATCCTGTCCTATGAGGTGACCATGAGTCAGGATCAACTCACTGGCAGAGAGTGTGGTTTTGGTCGGTGACTTGGCATAAAAGCAATGCTGTCAGTCCCTCCTGACTTCCCAGACTCGTCTTCATGTCCTCCAAGCTCCAGGACACTGCAGTTTCTGCTACATCAGTAAAGGCCTGTTCCTCACCACTAGACAGTTCTTAGTGCATTTACAAGCCTAGATTATTTTGCTGTCATTATTAAGCATTTGACAGTGGTTATGTGGGGAAAAGAGGGTTTTCAAATTAATAAAGTTAATTAATGAAATTATTATTGGCCTTTAGTGGTTGTGTTTTCACTTACTTTAAAAATAAATGTCTGTGAAGAGATTTATTTTGACATAT